CAGATTAAGATATATTTTAAAGTTCAAATAGATAAAATATGTATTTTACTTTTAATTATGATCTATAGCCGATACTTTATGATTATTATAAAAAAAATTACCTAATATAACAATAATATAAATTATGAAATATGCAAAATATGCAATTGGATTAGTTCTAGGACTGGAACCCGATTGAGCTGCACAAAGGTAATTAAAATATAAGTATTAAACAATATGAATACAAAAAATAAGAAAAACATGGTACAATTTAGCACATAAATATTCAAAATGTTGCCATATTTATTAACTTACTATGATATGTTGTTATACCTACTTATATGCTAAATTTTGTTAAATTTTGTTTAAATATTTTATAAAAACTATACAAAAGTGTATAATATATGTAAATATCATAAATAACTGTTGACATTACATTATTAACTCCAAAATTTTCCAATTGTTTTCCTCTTTCAGCGGTTTTCCATCACGCACAGCGTTTATAAAAAAGGTTACTTACAACTAACGACTAATATTTAAGCATAAATAATTCTCTTGGTGCGTTGAAAAACCTAATTCAATATCGAAGAACATGGTTGTTTATTTCAAAATTCACAAAATTATAATTTATAATATTATGTAGATAATAAATAATAATCGTACAAAATTAACGTTATGTAGACATTTAGATCGTATAAAAATAATTCATAAGACACCAATATTATGTAGCAGTACTTGGTTGTAGACAAACCGAACATTTTATGTCATATTCGTTTGACTTTGCTCAATCGAGTTATTAAGAAATAAGAACTGTAYTCTATCATATATTCTATATCTGTATTCCACCGCAAGACTGAATATGTGTTTAATATTATTACGTTTTATGAGCGAGTGACTTTACGTACACTAATCTTATGCCATCGTGAACGTAATATATTATGCCTGTAAGTAATTATTTAAGTTAATAACTTACAATATTATCGTACATGGTTGATGGTAAATATTATTTAGGTATTGATTGACACATGTGTTTATAATGTTCAAATGTGCCACTGTTAATTATTAATTGCAATAAATTCAACAATTACGGATTATGTCCATTGTCCATCCCACGTCACATTATTATTCATTAATACAATGATCGTGAGTGGATGTGTTAAAATACTATTTCTGGAAGTACCTAAGTAGGGCTCATGAAAAATATCGCAAGTGTCGTAATGATACATTGAGGTGCGCACACGGTTCAGTGTACTCTAAATCGTCTCAGAGTATCTGTAGTTGTATAATAATATATATGTGCTGAGGATTCATTTTGAAACTAAAACTAATTACCTCGATTAAAAATACAAAGATATATTACGTCTTACGCGAATTACAGGTGAATAGACCTAAAAGACAGGTCGACAAGGAAACCACTTTGTATTGTTGAAGTTATATACACACACTAGGGTTAATGATCTACCTGCAGGATAAGTATTAATACGTATATGTGATTACTTTGGTCGCTAAATTACATAATCAGTTCCATGTGCATATAATATGTAAGTGTACATTGAAACAGTTGCTCTTAAGTATGCTTCGTATTTTGAAACAGCAACACTGATTTTCTGGTAATCATTTCATCTGCTTATTTCAGTGGTAGTTTTTCTTTACATACAATGGTCAGTGAGTATACTAGAACGACAGCAGGCCAGAAGGCGAGCTTCCGCGTTTGGCATAATTCCACGATGGGCCAAGAGCGCCGTCCTATTTACAAATTAAGGTATAATAATAATAAGAGATTACACAGTTTAAGGAACGGGGTCGACTACAAGCAGTGTCTAGCTATCAATAGTGACTGCTGCTGTGAATCGGACCCGAGAATGATAGGCTCTCAAAATCGACCGAAGAAGGGTTAGGGGGTGAGAAACGTCTCTCAAACTTAGGTGACTTGGCAGGTTCTGCGAGGTAGTTTTCAGGTTACTGATATTGGTTCGGGTAGGTCAACGAGCCCGATATCACTTGTTGTATAAATAGAACTTCCTGACCTGTCAACGGTTAGTAATTATTCTAACAAACTGTTTACGTGTTGACACGAATAGTAACTCGTTACCGGGAGATTCCCCACAGGTGGTGAAATTGGTCTCCTTGATTGGTCGTCTCGGGTTGCTTGGTTTTGTTGCCGCTAAACAGGCAGTGAGTACAACTCGTACAAACAATATGTGTTGCGATTCCTAGACAGGTTGCTCACGGGTTTGTACGAGGAGTCTTGATGTGCTGTTGCTTGTCGATTCTGTCAGCGTCGATATTGCCAAATGTTACTATAGTCGGCGACACGAAAACTGGCGGGTGGCCGCAACGATCCTAGCGGGTTTTTTGTAATAGTGGTCATTAAACCATTTGCCACGCTTTTTCAAATATTTCGTATTCATATAAAATTTTTTATTCTTTGTTTATAATGTAAACAATATTCTACAATTAATGAAAATA